CCGAGAATAGACCCATAAACGTACCCAAAATTACAAAACCTATAACCAAAAGTACCAAATTTGTTCTCGCTCTCTTATCCTGTACCAAGATAACAGAGCAAGCTCGTCCGATACCAATTATTAACACGACACTATTTTTTACACATATTAAAATTTATATTAATATTTATATTTAAATTTCCACATGTCATTTAATATAAGAATATTATTATTTCATTTATTCGTGCGGACTCGACTGAAAACATCGTCGGTACTAAATAGCAAGCAAATGGCTGATGGTAAATTTTTGCGAGACAGCTGAGAGGAATATAAATAGATTTCGGACGCCAAATTGGCTTCAATGGGCGTACGCAATACACGAATATAAAATGGCAATAAATACACACATTCGGATATATGTTTAGGAGTAAAAACAATGTTGAAATCAGAGACTTGGATGAGAAAAAACCATACTGCACGCATATGTCAGTAAATCACAGGTAACCCCCCTACAACACGGTAGTTACGTCTCCAGAAAACGAGAGTGTTATGTGAATCCGTGTTATAAGGGACAAAGAACTAGTACCAAAAACAGGGGTTACGTTACAAGAATTAAAAAAAAAATGCCACACATATCATGATTTATAATAAATATTTTTAGATTTATTAATTTTTTTAGAAGTAATATACATTACTTGAATTATATGATTTTTTCGTCATAATTAACAAGTAAGTGTTATTCAACATGATCCTTTACTTGCAAGATATCCTCAGCTTTGAGCAGTTTTCTATACTACCTCTAGATCCGTGCATTATTTTTGCAAAGAAAATATATTCGCGATTACTTGCTTTTAGCAAAATATATTTATATATTTAACACATGTAAAGTAATCCTTAATAAACTTTTATACTCATTATTTAAAAAATTGCTAAGAATTATTTAATACATTATTCGGATAATCCTAGATTTTTTTTAGATAGAACGTACGCGCTCTAATAAATATATATCAAATTAGTTATCTTTTGCACTAGTTTGAACACATTTATAAAGCTATTGTACGGCGATTTTACTAATTTTAGATTAAATAAAGTTTGCTTTCATGGGTTTACAATATTTCTTATTTTATTGAAACTTTCCTCAATTCTTAAACTGTGTTATGCGAACCCGAAAGTACCGTGTTATGAGGGGGATGGTCTCAATTCTAAACCATGTTAGAGCGAATCCGTGTTTATAAAAGTACCCGTGTTATGCGAAGGTTACTTGTGTATACAGGGTGTCCCAGAAATCAACGTCAACGAGGTAATAGTATTGATATTAACTGTCCTGAAACAATTTAGACTAGGGTGTATGGCATCGCGCCTTAGGCAAGTTGCTAAAAACTACCCGTACTAGAATTAAATAGTTGTGAAAAAAATTGAGCAAAAATATTTTTGTTAAAAATTAGTAAAGAAATTTGACCCAAAGCACACCCAAGTCATTTTTTGCACATTTAGCCCCGTATCTCCGAAACGGCTAGAATGCCTTTGCCAAAACTAAACACCACTTCTCCCCATCATTACGAAATTGAATGTTTTTTTGAATCATTTAAATCGTATGCTCCGTACTCTCAAAAAACACGATTCTATTTTCTGTATCTTTGCTCCGTATCTCCGAAACGGCTCGAACTGCCTTTGTCAAAACTAATCAGCACATCTTCCTATCAATAGAAATCGAATGTTTTTTGAACCAGAACCTACCCCTCCTTTCAGGGTTAATGTTAATGAGTTTTATGCTCATACCGGTTTTACGTTTAATGTATAATATATACGTATACTAAGATTTTATTTTTATTTAAAAAAACCGGCACTTAATTTCAATAACTCAAACTTGATTTTCAATATTTTGTAAATAAATTTTTTTACCACAAATACTATTTAAGACTTCATTACAAATTGCAGAATATATAAACTTTGAGCTCGAATATCTCCTAAGTAAATAGATTCAACATCAAATTTTAAGAGATCTTCTTTCGTCGAATTTTCAATAAAAATTACACGTATTTCTAACTTTTCATACGCTTATTACTAAGTTAGAAAATTCTAAAAACGAATGTAATTTCTCCATGTTATTTCAATAAGAAACTTTGGCTGGAGTGCGGGACTATCTTAAAGTTAATATTAAAAGCTGAAACTTTCAGATAATTTTTTCTATCAATTTGGAACCATTTGAGTCCCTGGGAGCAAAAAAATTCGAAAATATCCATTTTAAAGACTATCTTAATATATGGATAAATATAACTAAACATGAAAAACTCACCTAAATTGACCAAATTGACTTTTTCCAGGAACGGATCAGCCACAGGCAACTGTAACAAAATTAAAAATTATCATTTAAAACCATTTGCCATAAATACAATAATAAATAATAAATAATGTAATAAATGAAGTTAATTTTAA